ATTAATAAACAATATTTTTCATATTTTTCATATTTTTTTTACAGCAAATGAACAAAATGAGAAAAATGAAGGTGTGGTAAAATCTTTAAGAATAAATATTGTCATTCACTTTAATTATATCTTGACTGTTTGAACTTTTTTTTTCAGCCACTGCTTCTCGTCTTGTCCAACAACTCCATGAGTTCGTAGACATGGAAATCTTGCGTCAGTTTGTGCAAAGCTTTCTTCTTGAGTCTAATTCCACTGCTGTACGTTGGCAGGCTCATGAACTTCTTTACAAGATTCATAAGTAAGTTATGCTCCTCTCAATAAAATGATTTCATAGAGCTACTTTTTGTTCTTTGTTTTTAAACTTTTACTAACTTCAATCAGCATTTGAAAAGCTGGAGTAATTGGCTTTTCCTAGAATCTAGCTTGGAGTTCAGTTAATATGTCATCAATTGGAATGAAATTGGAACTACTAGTGTGCTTTCCATTTGTCAGAACATTTCCATTTGGCTTGCCAGACCCAGAGAAAATGTCATTATATATCATTCTCATTTAGTTAGGAAATTCAAATTCTATCCATTATTCTACAAAAAAAAACTTAAAATGACTGAAAAATGTTGACGAAAAGCATATACCTCTAAATAGAGTGGACTGGCCAACCAGTTCTGCCTAAATGGAAAGCACCCCTAGTTTTAATAGTAAATAATAACTCAATGACTCACTATTTATATTTTCCAGGCATTCCACTCCCAATCAGCAAGACAAGTTGTCAGATATGATGTGGAAAATCTGGCCAGAACTGCCTGGATATGGTCGACGTGCTGCTCAATTTGTAGATCTTCTGGGTTACTTTACCATTAAGAGTGCTTCTAAGTCCAGCAAGGTTAGTAAATACTTTTGGATGACTAGTTTCACATGGCATTGTGCAATCAATTTTGTCTGTATGGACCCTGTTKGGAATARAGYCCAAATGCTGGAGCCAGTCAGTCAAATTTACAAGGATTTGTTTGTGGTCTACTTCAAAAGCACTTAGCTAAATGTTTCAGCCATTACTCTAAATAAATGYTGAAATTTGGTTGCTACTTCTTATTATTCTCTTTCATAATATTGAATCTACAAATCTCATAATTTTGAAAATATTCAGTGTTTTTGTGATGTCACTTTAGCAACCAATAACAATGTGTCCACAAGACAAGAATGGATTAATTAAATCTTACACGCACACACAATATGATGCAAGGCGGAAACAGATTTTAATTTCTTTTCACTTATTAATAAATCTGTTTTTAGTTTGATATCTACTGTGAGAAAGCTGTACAGCTTTTGAAAATGCAAAACAGCATCTTAGAAAAYCATCCCAATTCCAATGTGTACAGGTGAGAATGAAGCTAATCTTCTTAGCCTCCTTCTATATTTAGTTAGAGGATTCACAATACAATATTGCTCTTTTGATATTATATGACGATTAATTATCATTACAAAGAACTGATGTTAACTTTAATGGTTGTTTTGGTAGGATGCTTGCTGGTTTTGTTGAGTTTGATGGGTATTACCTTGAAAGTGACCCGTGTCTGGTTTGTAACAATCCTGAAGTACCATTCCAGGTAATCCCAGGAAAAAATATTTACTTATGAAATGAGCAAACTAATTAAGCAAACCATTGACAAACAGATAAATTCATACATTCATGCAAAAAAAATGTTATTTGTACTTTAATTCAATTCGACTTTACGTCATGTTTTCAGAGCCTCAAGTTGTCAGCCATTAAAGCAGACTTCAGGTTTACAACCACCTCTCAACTTGTCAAACTGATCAGTAGCCACACTATTTCTCGTATTACTCTCAAGATTGCCGACATGAAGAGACAAAAGATGGTTAGTACCATTACTAATGACTTAAGTCACATTAATCCTGAAATGTGTGTCTCATGCCATGCTCCACTAAAGATAAGAAGTAAATACTCTTCATGGTGGAAGCCAGGAGCCAGCAGTGTGCAAACCTAGCTTCAATCAAGCATAAATTTTTATTGTCTTCTTTGTACACTGAGTGTTTGCATTAGAATAGATTCTCTGTTGAATAAAAGAATATATTACATGCTATTGAGGTTAAGACTACACAGTCATATAATATCTCGAAACTGTAGTGTTAATCATTGGTTACTTGATGAAAGTATTTTGCAGTTTTTATTTTTTAGTGAAGCTGCAGAACTCAAGTCAGAGAACTTTACAATGTATTTTCTAACGTTAATATGGTTGAAGAATTAACTAATGCTAAGAGTTCATATTTATTGTAATTATCTTTTCTTTTGCAATGTTTCAGGTTCGCACAATCACTTTCTACTACAACAATAGGACAGTTCAGTCTGTGGTTGAACTCAAGAACAAGTAAGAATTTTAGATGGAGTTCTTCAATATGCTTGTACAGTTGTTGTTATAAAGGCATTTGGACTGTATCCCTTCACTATGACTATATTGAATACCAGTGATTTCTACGGATACCACTATATTCCATTAACCAGTCTTGTTCACACTGTCTCTGTCTCTGTATGGAATGTTTGTTTTTGATGCCAAAAAGTTAACAGAGAGCAAACTTAGGAGCCTACTGATGGAACACTATTCTAATCTTTGCCTTTACCTTTAGGCGTCCATTGTGGCACAAAGCTAAGAAGTGCCATCTCACTCCAGGACAAACAGAACTAAAGGTATATCAATATCATTTTTTAATTACATCAATTCTAATTAATGAAATCTTATGTTCTGATAATAATTATTAATTTGGGTTTCAGGTTGACTTTCCCCTTCCAATTGTGGCTTGTAACCTGATGATAGAGTACTCAGATTTCTATGAGAATTTTCAGGTATGCCATAACTGTAGTACTAAATGAACAAATGTGTCACTCACTCACTTGATTACCCACTTACTTTCCTGTAAACATTTTACTTTGATTTGTATTTCATTGTTATAATATATTCTTCACTTGCTATTGTAGGCATCTTCTGAGACTCTTCAGTGTCCTAGGTGTAGCGCATCAGTTCCTTCCAACCCTGGTGTGTGCAGCAACTGTGGTGAGAATGTCTATCAGTGTCATAAGTGCAGGTAAATAGAAAAAAGGCTGCTTAGATATAGCCTCCTTTTCAGACGTTATTAGTATCGGTCAGCGTATGACCGATACTAATAAAGGTCTGCAAAGAAGGCTAGTTTAGATATCAAAATTAATAAACCTTTGTGTAAGGTATCTTGYGAATTGATATTGCATGTTGCAGCAGGCTATATTGAACATTCATCAGGAGTATTTTTCTTGATCCAAATTGCAAACCAATTGGGCAGGAAACAATATCATCAGTGCTCAAAAACAAAAAAAAAGACTTGTTTTTTTGTTTGTATAATTATTATAATCATTTGTCCAGTCTGACTGCTGTCTGTCGTTCAGTTGTTGACTTGCTATCTTAACTTTATCCAATTATTCAGGTCCATCAATTATGATGAGCGTGACCCTTTCCTCTGCAATGCATGTGGTTTCTGTAAGTATGCCAAGTTTGACTACAACCTGACAGCCAGGTCTTGCTGTGCCGTGGATCCCATTGAGAATGAAGAAGACAGRAAAAAGGTACACTAAAGAAAACTAAAGTTAATACTTTATCCTGTCAAAAAACTGGTTATTAAGAAAGTGTTAAACTTTTTCTTAGGCTGTAGCTAGTATTAATTCTTCACTGGARCGTGCAGACCGTGTSTACCGCCAACTGTCTGCGCACAGGACTCCMTTAGACATGCTGCTTACWAGGATACTAGAACATGGCGATGCTGAAGTTATCAAGGTAAAATTCATTCATTTGTTAATCTGCTCCTTCATTTCAGTCTTCTATTCATTTCATCATTACATTTTTCCTATTCCTGGATTCTCATCCTTTCCTTATCCATCCATTTTTTCACTTTTCATTCATTTTTTTTTGTCCATTCATTTGTTCGTTTGTTCATTTATTTATTCTTTCATTCATCTCTGCATGCAATCATTCATTTAATAAAAAGTTTTCCCATTAGTTTTCCCATTTAGTGTTATTGTTAATATCTATGTATACATCTTTCAGACTGACAACCATTTCTATTTC